AAAAACGACCCAACAAAAAAGTTTTTAAAATAGTTTAAAAGATTATTTTTAACATGATCTAAGAGTTTAATTACAAATTAATCTATTTTTTAATGAAGTCTTATAATAATTAATTTCAATTTTGTCTTTTTTGTATAGAAAAGGAGAGGAAACAATAGTTCAAATATCGTCGAAATCACTCTAACTATTTTAGTGAAATAAAAATTATATATTATTTTCAAATATCACGCGATATAACAACAAAGTGAAATAATTGAAAACATATAAAAATAACTCCATACAAAAAATAATAATTATATGGTATCAATACTAATCATGATTAAAAAATAATTTTCTGACAATTGCGCCACAAAAAAAAAGGGAAAAAACGACCCAACAAAAAAGTTTTNNAAAAACGACCCAACAAAAAAGTTTTAAAACAAGTTTAAAAGATTATTTTTAACATGATCTAAGAGTTTAATTACGAATTAATCTATTTTTTAATGAAGTCTTATAATAATTAATTACAATTTTGTCTCTTTTTTTTTTTTTGTATAGAAAAGGAGAGGAAACAATAAAAAATAAGAGAGAAAAAAGTGGAAAGAAGATTGTTAAAGATACAGAAAAAAAATAACAGGTTGAGAGAAAAACATTGGAGAAATTGCAGTAGTAGTCCCTAACGTTTTCAATTTTTGTAAACTTTATCCTAACATTTATTTTGTGCCAATGAAGGTCCCCTAACCTTTCATAAATATACCGAGGTCTCTTCTTCTCCAACAAGACCTTACCCACAGGGGCGGAGCTAGAATTTTTTGTTAGTGTGGGCACAATTTACCTGATGATGAACGTCGAGTTTTTATCATGGATGTAACAGATAAGAAAAGCGTAGAAGAAAGAAGAACAAGATAGTTGAACTAATTGTAACAGAACAAAGTAAAGCTAAAAACTTGAGATCCCTCTGTTACTAACTTATTAACATCAACTGATAACTCGTACAGTTCAAAAGGGATACAATTACTAAACGGTTTGTAATCACATATTTTACATCTACATCAAGGAAAGAACAAAAGCCAAGTTCTAATCAATTTCACATTTGCTCTATTTTTGACATGAGCCCACGTTTAGTGAAAAAATGAGAATCACCTTCAGGAAAATATAAATGTAAATAGCTACCAAAATCTCAATCAAAACGAAATGCATAATGTTGAATTTTTCAAATAAAAAAAGGGGGGGAAGTGCATATTCAATTCCCAAACACACATCCCAACAAGGTGATAATGGAAGATGTCTAAATATCTCAAAAGGGAAAAAAGTGGGTTTATCTTTTATAAAAATATGAGAGATGTCTAATCAATTCTCTTTTGGAAGTATTGTTAAATTATAATAGAACATATATCATAAAATCTTTAAGTATTTATAGGCACTGGTAATTTAACCTCCAGATAGCACAAAAGGTTCTATGTAATTCAATTAAGACTTCATGTAATTCTGAGAATCTCAGGTGCAATTCTATAAGTTCAGATAAAAGCATTCAAAGAATCAGAAAGTTCAACCAAGTCCAACAATTCAGATAAAAGCATTCAGAAAGTTCAAATCAAACTGAAACTATGATAATCAAATTCAACATTTGAGATACAATCATACAAAGACTGCCCAAAAAATTCAACATGAGCAATTGAGGTCCAGAATCACCAAGTTCAACCATTCCAATTTCCAAAAATGTCCAAAAAAATATTCATTCACCGAATGACCAAACCACAAAATCCATGAATAACTCTGTACCTCACCCAAGAATTGAAAACCCAATCCACCAAGGAAAGCCCAAACGGTTTATGTATAATGTGAACCCCAAAATATAGATCAAAGAGGAAAAAAATAGCTAGACAGCCTAGACTTACAGTAGGTTACCAAGTAACGAAGGCGAGGCGAAGCAACCAGTAGGCGCAGCTGGTCTAGGGCTCGAAGCCGTCGGCAGTGCACAGAGGTGTTTCGCAAAAGCGTGAAGCAAAGGCTCGAAGACTCGAAGTAACTGCTGGCGGGCTGCTATTGTTGAAGGATGATGAAGTAACCGTTGGCAAGCTGCGACCGACCGGAGGCTGGCTGGAGGAGAGGCAGAAGTCGAACTTGAAATCAAGGCGGAGGTTGAGGTTGAATTGAAATCGAGGGAGTCTTAGGCTGGGAGAAGATAATTCACTGTTTTGATTTTAATTTTTTTGGAATGGGTTGGGTAGTTTAAGTCTTGGGCCATTAAGGTAGTCTTGGGCAGGAGATAAATATTACTTAAAAAAAATCTTTGGGCCGGGGTTGAGCCCAGAAGTTCAGGGTGGGTCTGTATTGGGCTTCGCCTCTGCTTACCCAACACCTCCACCTTTAACCCACACTCATATCGCCACCACAATTCCCACTCACCACAACACACTACCACTGCAGGCACCATCCATCGCCACCTTCGAGCATACTGCACATGAAAAAATCAAACCAAGAAAACTCACACCTATACTCAAAAATAAAATCAAGATAAAATCACCGATTTCATCTCTATCAAACCTAGAAATCAAATCACACCCCCACCCAAATCAAAACTAGCATTAGATTTCTTCCAAGTGAGTTTTTAAATGGGAAAATTGTAGCAGCGCGAGATCGGGATTTGAAATCCTGAAGCTGCATCGATTGTTTGTCCCTTTTTTTATTGAAATACCATCACCGGATTAGATGTCTGGATTATGGGAGTCGACCGGTGATACTCATCGACGGTGGGTGTGATCGGAGGAGTTGCCGACGGTTTTTGAGTTCCCGAATTGGGGGATTTTTAGTGGTTATTCCGACAACATTTGGTGGTTGGGTATGATGTGCATAGGGGAATGAGGGCTTTCTTGTAGGGGTGGGCATAGGTTGGGCCGGGCAGGGTCGGTTTTTGTCTCAACCCAAACCCAACCCAACATGATCTGTTTGATCATAATTTAATTCAACCCAATTCGTGTAAATGTTAAAACCCAGCCCAACCCAGCCTAGCCAATCAAGTATCGGTCAGATTGGGTTGGGTTGGTCAATTTGAGACAACTTGTCAACAAAAATTAAACTAGGTGGGTCGGATTGGGCAGATTTATAATTGACTCATGACTTATATAATATTAGATCTAGTGGTGTCAAATGAGCCGAGCGGCTCGTCGGCTAGCCCGCTCGGCTCGTACTGTTCA